GGCTATGGGTAACTGACCCATTTATGTTCCTGGTTTTGTAATTATTTCCTAACACATTGAGGGGAATTTACTAACAGAATCTGGAGCAACGATCAGCTTCTAGCTTTCATTTCCAAAGCTTATCTAAACAAATAGAAGCTAGAAGCTAATTGGTTACTCTGCACAATGGCTCCAGATTCTGGTAGAGCCACTGTTAGTAAATCCTCCCTCCCCAGTGCGTCCCACCCAGTAAGTGTAAGGCAGTGGTGTCTCGTGTTCTTCTTTTAATGACTACAGGTGACCTATAGAAGAGACATCTCTTACTGATGCTGCTTGTATTTCCTACCTAAAGCCCCATGTTCTGCCTTCATGACCAGAATGATGTTCTCCGGCAATGTGTATGCAGCTGTGCTGGACAGCAGAACAAGATGAGTATGTATGAAGGGAGCACATGACAGGAGCTCTCTGATGAGGGGTCATTATGCCTAAAGGCACACAAGGAATGATAGTTTCATCTGACAAAAGTCGTAGCCCCCTCTAGCATGTCCCCCCAAGTTACTATGGCAACAGTGCACTCATCCATTTCCCAGACACACTCCTCTCTTTGTCCTACTGTGAAAAATGCTGCTGTTCCAATGTGATTGAGGGGTGAGGGAGCGGACAGAAATGTGGGGGCGCCCTCCTCTCTATTCACAGAGCCAGATACACTACCCCAACAGAGACGCACAGTCCTACTTAAACTAGGGCACGCGGATCAGAGAAGATCAGCTATTAAGTGAGGAACTGGGCTTGAAGATTTGAGTGAGCTTGTAAGTATGCTATGACTTCTAGTGAGTACTCACACATCAATATATTAGATGGATAATAGTACAACGAATTAATATGCTACAAGTAGGAATGTATATTCTACCTGGGGTCACATTATCAGATTATAATTCACTGCGCTGTGGATGTGTAATTAATCCATTAAATGTGTGCTGTATGTTGAGATTACTATATTATTATTAGAATCATTTATTTTCATAATTCTGGTAATGTGTTCACATATTTATGGAGAGCGGCACAAATAGTCCATATTAGACAAAACTTCTGTAGGAACCTTTAAACCTTTTTTGGGTTTATTAATGGCAGTTTACGCACAAAATTGTTATTTAGAAGCAACCTAGATTTTTTTATAAAGTTGTGTGCATTTTCTTTTTGACTTTATGTGACACTGGGCAGCACCGTGTTTTTGTGTTGGTTAGCACGTCTACAACACTGGGATCAGTTTGAATCCCATCCTGGATGTTATTTGCATGGAGTTTGCATGTGCCCTCTGTGCTTGTGTAGGTTTCCTGCCACACTCCAAAGACATGATGACATTATTATTAGACAGGATTTATATAGAGCCAACAGTTTGCTCAGCACTTTACAAAATGAAAGTAGACATTACAGTTACAATGCAATTTGGTACAAGAGGAAACAGAGGGCCCTGCTCATAAGAGCTTACAATCTAGGAGATGTAAAATGGCCTTATTATGTGTGTGTGTGTATGTATAAAGGTTAGATAGGGACCTTAGATTGTAAGATCCTTGAGGGCAGGATATAAAATATGTAAAATGATGCATAAATTGTTGGTGCTATATAAATGCCTGTAATAAAGAAACAAATATTTGAAAATTAGGAGCATGAATATTTCATGATAATCTTTAATGATGGGAAATTAATTACAGTTAGTACAGTGAAAAGATTTTTTTTTTTTCACTTCAAATTTAGTTGATGCACATCTAATGTACACTATCACACTGTTTGTAAACAACGACTTCTGTCCATTCTGTATATTATTATTATATATATGTGTGTGTATATATATATATATATATATATATATATACACATATACATACACTTTGTATAAATATATATATATATTGTCAGAAATGGCTTGTTTAAATTGTATATATATAACACTGAAAAGTTTAAGCCAGCGAAATCAGATATTTTATCTTTTGGTAAACGCTGGCGTGTTGAATAGTTTTTAGGGATCTTCAGAACTGTAGCAGTGTGATCACTCCCAGCCATTCACAACATCAAAGGCAATAAGCAGCATTCTCTCTGCTGACTTTATAATTTTGTATCATGTACGGTAAAGGGGAAGAGTGCTATGAAAACTGAGATGTCATCATTGAGATCTTTGATAATGACAGCTAGCAAGTTACTCCACTCACAGGACCATACATCTGAAATGTGCACTTGGTGTACAACTATACCTAAACATGAAGGAATTTCTTTCTAATGAAGCCAGGGATAGGAGTAAAACCTGAGAGAGGCTGTAACGCTTCCCCACTTTACCAAAAAAAGTGGTGTCAGTGGCTGGTGTCATATATAATTTCTACACACATATCGTGGGGAGCAGCCCCAATGGGTTAAGTCTTTTGCATGTTCAGCCTCCTGAGCACCTTTCACGCACATTAGCAGTGCAATAACTCCACCACATCTTTGGGGTTTCATATATATTAAATGTCAACAGTGTATACCTTTCCAGTGTCAAGCTATTTATATCTTTTACAAAAATGTGTGTAAAATATTTACATTTGGACTTATTTTATAGCTGCCATCACAATAATACTATATAACTATATTTATAAATTCTGATAGGATAAAACATATTCTGTGTTACATCTTTAGCCCTAAGTCCCAAAGCAACCAGGACGAAAAAACTTTAAAAAAATGTAGCCAATTTGTATGTTAAAAATTCCTTAACCTTTTACTCCAAGGTTCCTAGGTGATACTATATTCACAAAATAGGACATTTATAGTGAGCAACACAAAGCAGGGGCTTTTAAGAGAATGCATTACCTCTGATATGACCCACTCCAGTATATGCCAGACATGCTACTCTTCATTATCCCTCTCTTGAGCATAGTCAATGAACTCCTGTGAGGGGTTTGCTTAAATATAAAATGGATGGAGATATCGGGAGCAGAGAATTTTGCACCTGCTGGAGTTGGTCATGTTGAACATTGCTGAAAATACTTTTTTGTGTGTTGTTTGTTCAAAAAACTTTATTTATTGTGTAATCCTAACACAGTCAGTATTAGCATGTCCTCATTTTCATACAAAGTGGTTGCAAAGGCTAAAGGTTTTTTTTTTACCTAATTCATTCTCTTCATTAAAGTAAAAAACCCTCAAAGTTCAGCTCTCTCCGCTCCCCCTAAATACGTACTTGAGCCTGATCTCAATTTAGTCCTGTGCCCAAGAGTAGCAGCACTGCTCTCTCTCTCTTCACTTGACTCAGGGGCAGCAGCGGGATCCATTGGCTCCTGTTGCTGTCAGCCAAATACTTTGAGGAGAAAGCAGGGGGTGGGGCCAAGCCCATTTTAGGATTAAGCCCGCACCAGTGCCCCCATCAACAGCAGCTTGCTATAGGGGCACTTGTAGAAGAAGCCAAGAGCACCGGCAGGAGACCCCAGAAGAGGGAACAAGGGGCCACTCTGTGCAAGACCATTGGACTGAGCAGGTAAGTATAATATGTTTATTATGTAAAAAAAAAAAAAAAAGAAGTAATATCTGAAATTGAACCTGTGCCCAGATCATACACACTGAAGTATTTACATATTCTGAACAAACCATAAAAGCACTTTAAAACAAGCCTTCGTTCACTGCTGTATCTGTAAGCATTGTGAAGAAAAAATTTTTTAGATTCATAATAAAGTCACTGTTTTGTACATTAGTTACATTAACTGCTCACTGGTGCTATGCCTAAACCATTCATTCCAGCCATAAAATCTGTATAATATGTTCATTGTTAGGATTTTCAGTGTTGCCGAGAGTTTTAATGAAATGCATGTTGATATGAGTTATGCCTGTGGACATGTTGCTTGATAATAAGGCTTTCTCAACAGTCTACACCGTATTTCTCCCAGCTAGCCAATAAAAAGGCTAACACTGTACAACATAAACAACTAGTTATATCCATACAACTTGGGGCTTCTCATCTATCTCCAAGGCTCACTGATGTGCATGTTTTTGCAGCAAACCTGGGGAAAGCTTGGGGGGGGAGGTTGCTGTACTAACGATGTGATTTTAGTACTGCGATCTCCCCACTGAGCTGTTGTGTTCTGACAGGGGAACCACCATCCCACCAGAACACACTGGTCAGCACTCGCAGTCATTGGCTGAGAGTGCTGATCAGAAGCCGATTGGCTAATGGTTTTCCAGCAAGCTCATTTGACAGAAGCTGGCCGAGAGTTTGGCTTCTGTCAAGAAAACTCGTACACACGGGCCAAAGGTCACCCGGTATCTACTGTACTGGCTGATTTTAGGCGATATTCAGCCTGTGTGTACAGGGCTTAAAATTTTACTAAACCCAGGACCCTGCATTCACTATATTTGGTCTCCCACAGTACACACAACATGGAAATGCAATTATTTTAGAAAATATAAACTTTTTACACAATGCAGAGGATTAACCCCTTACGTTCCACAGTGAGTATAACAAGCATGCTTTACTGCATATACAGACTGATTTTACTGTTGTTGGTTTAGTAACACTTTAAGACTATAGTAGTAGTGACTAAGCACCCCATTTAACTACCTGTGAAAATCCATAAACATTTTAGCAATCTGTTTTTATTGCTTTCTCTGAGATCCCTTGGTACTTGAGATGTCTTCTACTCATCACCGTAGCCATAACATTGCATGGTCAGGTAACCCAAATATGCATGTTTATGATAAAATGCTTTAGGACAGATATTTTAGAATGTAAATATTTCTATGTCCTTCGTTAGCTTTAATGGGATCCTACTGCAGTTAGGAGTAATCGTATAAAAATGCAAATATCTGAGTAATAAATTAAATGAATGTCAATAATTACACTGCTAATCAATGTCTCTATTTTTTTCTAGTGTTGCACTTAAAAATAGTTGAAGATGAGTGGTTCACAGAACAAAATGTTTACAAATTCCTCTGTATTTGTTTTGGTGGATCCATGTGTACAGGAAACCTGGTTGGAGAATGCTCTTCTGTCTGTCTGCTACCTGATGGGCCTTTTTGTAGGAGGCCTGGGAAACATCCTAGCTCTCTCACTGTTTGCACGAGATCGCCAACCCAAATCACCATCTGACATCTTTCTCCTTCATCTTGCACTTTCAGACCTCTTCCTACTTCTCAGCCTACCCAACAGACTCTTCTATCATCTCTCTGGAAATAATTGGCCTTTTGGCTCACTGGCTTGTAGACTGTCTGGCTTTGTTTTCTACTTAAACATGTATGCCAGTCTTTATTTTCTAGCTGGGATAAGTATTGATAGGTACTTGGCCATTGTGCACCCTCTCAGCTCTGTCAAGATTCGAAAGCCCTTACATGCTCATATTGCATGTGGCTTTTTATGGGCTGTTGTTGCATTTGCTACAGCCCCATTACTGTTAGGACGGGGAGCATCAATGGAGGAAAATGTTTGCCGCTTGTTGTACCGAGAAACACCATCTTTGAGGGCATTATCCTCTCTCAGTGCAGCTTTTGCCATCCCCTTCTTGGCCACAGTCATTTGCTATGGACTTATTTTAAGGCGTCTTAGAAAAGGAGGTGACAGGAAACCAAAGGAGCGTGCAGTGAAGATGGTTCTGCTGGTCTTAACAATATTCCTGATCTGCTTTGTTCCTTACCATCTCAGTCGTACCTTATACCACGTTTTGATGCCTGGAGGTGAAAGCTCAGAAGTGTCATCTTCTTGTGATTTAAGGCAAGGTTTGGCATTGGCTAACAGATTTACCTCCTGCCTAAGCACCCTTAATGCTGCCCTGGATCCTCTAGTCTATTTCTTTGCTGTCAAGAAATTCCGTCAGAGTCTGGTTTGGTTTCCATGTAGACGGGATAGGAGAGACAATGTAAAAAATCATGAGGAAGGCCGAACAGAGGACAGCTCACTCAGTGCCAAGACAGAAGTATAACAAAAAATTGAAGGGTTAAAAAAGATTGCAGATGACAACAAAAGAGAATCAAATCACCAAATGGCCTTCATACATTAGGGGAAGAAAGAAAGAAAAAAGGCCTCATTTTTGGATATTGAACACTGAAACTCACATCCTGTGTTAAATTTTGGAGGTTTAACAAGCCACAAAGACAAATCACTCATTTAATGCCTTAAACTAGTAGTTTTCAAAGAGAGGACAGATACCACTGACTATACAAACGTCAATGTAGCGCCACCCCCAGAGGAGCTGCTGAATGTATTGTCTTTGTGTAATTGGAGATGACACCTGGCTCACCCAGCAATTACCGACACAGCTAGGGCTCTTTAACAATTTATTTGAACAGCAACAATCTGAGAAAAGACAATTTGTATCTCAAAAACCACACAAGCAACAAAACAATTTTTTTTTTTTGGACAGAATAATAGCTATGCACTAGCAATGCTCTTTTCTAGCAATATGCATTTCTATGGGTAGCTTACACTTAGTACCAAGCGATAAAACAAAGCTAATTACAATACCTAAACAGTCCATTCCTCACTGGCCAGTGGTAGATGAGATGAGCACGTTGGCCAGCAGCGGTGACGCACCTTTAGAAATAGCACAGTCTCGGTAGAGAAGAATGTCAGTTTGCTGAAGTTTGAGCTATTACCAGTCCCACACTCACTCCCAGAATTTCTATGCATTCACAAAGTTTCAGTTTGGTATAGCTTTAGCCATCAGCAGGGGGAGGGAAGGCTCTACCAGGCAGTTCAGTCACACAAGGTGTTCACAGAGTGCCTCACACTTTCCCAGGAAGTAGACTCATGATTTCCAAGTCAGAACTCCAAACAGAGGCTTGTCCCTTGGCTTCATGGAAGTATCCTTGGGTGACAGCCACTTGCAACAGGTCCTGGGCACACCCAGTTAATATCTCCAGCAGCAGATATCCAAACACACTCAGGAGGGGCGATCTCCAGCAGTGGGGTACCATGCGGATAGGCAGCTCAGCCTCCACACACTCTTGCACCCACTCACCATGTGTGCCTTCACTCCTCTGCCTCATCCAGCTTTTCCTCCTCTCTTCTTAGTCTTCTTAGATAGAATCAGACACCGCTAAAGTGACTGCCTCAGTGGTTTCCTTAAAGATGGCCGCAGCATTTCTGTATTATTGAATGTTCAACTAATGATGATTGCTACACTTGCACACAAACAAGTGTTCTACCAATTTCATAGAAGAATAATGCAGCAACAACAGGAGGAAACACAAATGTCTGCATCAACTATAGAAGAACAATGTTTTTTCTTGCATTCTCTAAAAAATAAGTATAAAATGGGATTGAATAGGTAACTTAATTTTAACGAGGCATGTTATATACTAGTAACGTCATATGTAATAGATGCCAGTAGCAAATATTATAATAATTGCCCATGGATCTGTGCGGCAAGCTGGACCTAATGTTTGATCTCCCTGTGCCCCTCGTTTCACCTAATAAACCCTTAGGCTTAACTCAGATGGCCATTGCTGTGAATACTCTGTTGTAATCCCCTTATTTATCTCACATCTCACACACAGCTGAAGATGTAATTACTTGCAGATCCATAAATATGCAGTAATGTTTAATAGGAGCGGGTAGGAAAATAAATTGGAGAGTGAGAAGAAAGAAAGAAAAAAGGTAGGAGGACAGAATAGGCTGAAGGCTGCAATGGCAGAGTTGCCATTGAACAGGATGTGTGGCAGACACTGATCGAAGTTATTTGGAAAGGTCAGAAAAAGTGAGTTATGATTAATAGCCAACATTTTTTCTATTTACCAGGCAGTAGGCCATTTTGAAACAATGCTTAAAGTGGGAATAAAAGATTTCTGAGCTTTTGCCAAAGGTTTAGTAGGGGTAAAAATGTATGTGTATCTTTACCCAAGTCCCAGCTTGCAAAATTGGTCCAGTGCTTTTTGATGCGAGGGCAATACCACCAAATGTGTTACAAAAGAATGTTACATTCATGGAAGTGATTAACGGAGTTTATCTGGGTAAACCTTGTGAGTCATTGGAGTACCAGCACACCAATAATTTGTAGATGACTTTGAAAGCAGAGGTATTTAGAGACCAATGTATAGCTGTTTTCCAAATCTGTTTCCAGGTATCTAATTCAAGGTTAATGATTGGGTCTGAGTCTGATTGCAAAATGTATGGAAAAAATTAGAGGATGATTGGCCTTTTAATATTGATAGGTAAATTGTAGAGATAAGTACCTTAGACTGAGAATTATTTGGGCACCTATTTTAAAATGATGTCAAAATATGTAGGTAGGTAGGTGAAAAGATCTAATGCCTTAGGCATAATTGGGATCATAGACCATGGAGGCCTTGTTTTATCCACCAAAAGAATATTGACGGTTTATAAGGCCTGGAGTAAATTCGGGGTTCCCCGAGATTGTTATAAGGGGAAAAAGGAGATAATATTTTAAATTAGTACTGGACATTATCCCATATATTTGAAGAATACTTTATTGTGGCATTATCCACTTGTTTTTGGAATTCAGGGGGTTCTATATTAACCCATAAGGGGGCCTCTTGAGTGATGTGCTTTGAAGATAGTTGGGCAGCTCGAGCTGTATAGAGTTTAGTAAAAAACAAAACTTCTTTATCAAAATCTAGGCTCCAGATTTTACCCAAATAAGCAGTAGAACACATTTCTGTAGGAGTCTTAATATAGGTTCTGGGGTAGGGTTGCCACCTCATCCCTTTAAACCCGAACACATATTAATTACAAAGGTTCTGAGGCTAATTTAATGCAGATAAGGCACTAAGGGAGTTTAATTACCACCTTAATCAGCCACAGAACCTGTGTAATTAATATGTGTTCAGTTTTAAAGGGATGAAGTGGCAACCCTATTCTGGAGACTCTAGTCCTGAAGGGCGCTAAACAAAAAGTTTGTGGGAAGGGTAATTAGAGTACTGCTATTTCTCATAGCAACAACAGTTTGTACCCTTTTCAGGTTTCCATAAAGCTACCAAGGGCGATAAGAAATATGTTAATATAACTTTATATAGTTACTGGTAGGTCAAATGATTCACAATGGAGAGAAAATGTGACTTCAAGGATTCACATGCTGTATGAGTTAAAGGACTTTTTTTTTACTTATGTACATGAAATGTTTGTTAGCTTGTTCTTAAATATGTGGTTTAATGGGATAGTTGCATTTTGAGAAATGTAAGATTTTCTCCTCCCAGACACCGCCAAATTGTCTTCACACCTCAGCAACAGGCACTCTTTTTAGTGATTGGAATAACTTTCCTGCAGTCACAGAACAGAAATAATGTTGACATACCAAGGAAAGTAGGGTCAGATCTCCTAATTCTGCAATTATCGACAATGCTGGTTGTTGTAGGTAATTGTAGGCGCTTTTTAGGGGACAAGGATCTAAGAAGCCCTATGATTAAATGTAAGTACAGAGAGAGGCCTAACATGATTTTAGTTTTCATTTTATAGCAGATTAGTGGAAAATAAGTGGAAGTTTAGGCAAATCCTAACTAATTCTAATCCTACCTGCAGCCACTTTCTAAACTTAACCTGTCTAGCCCTGTAAAGAAGAAATCGCTGCACTTACCTGTTCTGCCACCGTTTCAGTCCGGTCCCTTGCTAAGCTGTTGGAGGTGTCTCCGGTCCAGTGTGTAGGAGTGTGCAGGAGAGGCAGCCGACAACGGAAGCCCCATAGTAAGTCTATGGGTGGCATCATTTCCCAGGCATTTCCCAGCTGTTTTTGGTTCTCTTGCGCACACAGCATCCGCTACTGGTGGCTGGATGGGCTTCAGAAAAGGTATTTATAGTGATTTCTTCTTTACAGGGCTAAATACTGTAGATTAGGCTTAGAATGTGACTAGGGTTAGAGCTAGTTAGGATTTGGCTGAACTTCCACTTCAAAGTCTCTTCTGTATAGTGAATCTGTTTAGTATCTTGTATAGCCAAAGTGCAGGTTCAGTTTAGGAAAGAGCTTAATGCAAAACTATAGGCAAAACCTTTTTTTTTCATTTTGGATAGAGTAAGGGAGGACTATAACCCCTGTCGGTTTTTTGTCATGTGTTTCATTGGGGAGATTTACCTTCACTTCCTGTCCTATAGCCAAAACAGGAAGTGAGAGGAAATCCCTACGAATTAAGGGAATCCCTTGGGACCCCCCCCATTATCCCCATTGGAAGATTTCACCTCTATCAGTTTTATGGGGACAACCCAACATTAAGATTTTCTTTAGCTTTTACTTCCAATGATATTGGTAAAAAGGACAAAAAGAGAGGACTAATTTCCCTAATGGGGACACAGACAGCAATAAAAACCTAGTACTGTAGGCATTCTAATCCTTCTCTACTCTGCCCAGCACTAAAAAAAAGGGTTTCCTTTAGTTATACTTCAATACAGAGTTCTATAGCTCTGACTGAAAGTGTAAATATAGATCCCAATACCAGGCCTTCAGAGACTCACTATGAAAATCCATGAGGTTACCTCTCCTGGTTGCTTTATAAAGCCTTCACCAAAATTATGCATCACATACAATTACCTGTTGATGATTCAATAATAACTAAAACGTAACTGCACTTTTGTTAGGATAAAAAAAATCTCATTATATTTAACTGTATACATTGCAAGAACATAGTAAATAGAGAGGGGTGGGAAGGGGGGAAATCTGTCTGCTATAATCACAAGACTGCTGAAAGAGCAGAGAGTCGATCTCTGGGGGGGGGACTTGTGTACATAAACAGCATACCGAATGCCCCTACTGTCAGGGGTGTACTTGACACAAGGCAAACAAGGCATTTACCTAGGTTGGCATTTTTCAAGGGAGGCAACACTGCCCCTTAGAAGAAGGGAGACACACTGCATGGGAACCAAGTGGGTTCTAAGAGAGGCTGCGGGTTTCATGATGGTGTATGCACAGCCCGACTCTCGTTCCCGGGGATGTCCGGAGCTGTGAAGGTGAGTGTCTTTCTCCCTCTCGCCATGGAG